TGACTTCTTTCTCATTCTCAATTTCAGTCTATCAGGAATCTCCTACTGATTATATTGCATCGAAGTGGGTTCAGAATGGCCTGTGTTGTCCTACTGATAGAGAAGGCTAACAAAATTTCACTTGTAGAAAACCATAGCTGAACTAGACAGGATATGAGTACACATAGAATGTCTTGCTTCTATATGTCCATTCTGTATGTCACTGGAAAATATGAAAATAGTTTGCAGCATTCTGGTAAATGCATTTTCAAAATTTCATATTAAGCAAATTGTGTTATTAGCTGCTGAATCACAAAACTTTGGTAGCTGTCTTGAGTTTAATGTTTATTTTTTAATTCTTTTTATCTAATACTATAGTTATCTCATATTATATAGAGCCATGTTTGACCTGGACAGTAAATCTTGGTGGCTATTTGGGAATTTTGCATTTTATACTTTTATTTGCTGGCAGATCCTTGTATGATTTTTTTCCCTTAAAGCACTGTTGGATATTTCTTTAAATAGTGAGTTTGAGAGAAATTCACAGAGCTGGATGATTTTAAATGCAAACAGTGTTTCCATGAATTTTGACATCTAAATCGACTCTTCTGAAATCTCTATCAGATATGACATTCTTTGCATAATGTAGCATGAAGACTTTAATGTTTTATTAGATGAAGAAAGTAGAACCAGAAAGCATTTATAAAAACAGCATTTCTGACACCCCGTACAAAGTTTGAAGAGATATATTATTTAAATCCTTTTCTCTTCAGTGCACATCAGTTAGCTCCTTTTTGCTTCTGTCATGAACTGCCAATCATAAAGCAGCTTTTTTGTACTGTTTTCTTTGTGTGGGAGGAGTGGGATTGACCTCTTAATTTTTTTTGACATGTCTATTTGTGATAGTCAAGTGTCACAAGCAGGAGACTTATGGCTGGAGTAGAGAAAAGAAGCATCAGTGGCAGATGTTCTCTTAGCAAGAAGGATCTGTAAAAATTACTTGGGGAATGCCAGCAATATCTATACATTTGACTTATGAATAAAAAAAGAAAGCTAAACTAAGCATTCCCACACTGATTTCACAGAATAGAATTTTACTTCATTTCCCCTTCATCCCCAGAGATTTTAAATCCATGTAAAGCCCTGATTCAGGCATGCAATCTTGACTGGTTGCTTACCTAAGAGGGTTTTGTTTTTTTTCAGATATGCATTGTAAAACATTCTCACAAATGTATTTGAAATGTGTGAATTGTAATGCATTTGTTTAAATGATTAGTCTGCAATAAACTGGCAAGTACTTTCAAGTTGATTTCGTCAATCAAATTACGTGAGGGTTCCTTCAAAATCTCCAGCAGGTATCTTGCAAGAATAAACCCCAAAAGCATGAAATATATGCAGGGATATCCATGCGGTGTGATTTTTTGAAAAGTCAAGTTATTTGCAGCACTGCCGCTGAAGTTCTGTTTGTTTGTTTTAATGTGTTTTCATTTTAATTGCACCACAGTGGCCGGAACCTTGACTTTTAATGACCACATGCTATGACCTGTCCATCTTGGGTGGCCCTGCACAGCATAGTTCAAAGCTTCATTGAGCTACCAAAGCCCCTTCGCCACAACAAGGCAGTGATCCATGAAGGGATGCTGTGGACATTCCTGACTAAATTGGAGATGCTTTGGAAACTGGAATTTCTCAGAACAGGAATGCTGATTCTGTCCATTTACTGCCTAACACTAAGCATAAGAAACTCAAAGCACGAGGCCCCATTAAGCAGTGAAAAATCAGGAAGGACAGTAGCCAATTTAAACTGCAGAGGGCACATGAAAGCTTCACATCTCCATGTTAATAGAGGACAATCAATTGCTTTAAGTGGATTCATTCTAGCATGAAATAAAGAAACCAAGGTTTCCATCCAGTCATGTGGCATAAGGTGTCTAGGTAGTTTCTCCAAACTTCCAGCCTGTTAAAGGAAGGACCCTAACCCGACAAGTGGCCCATTTATATTTACCACCCACTTATGCATGGAAGAAGGGACTTAACGGCAGAAACTATCTGCTGTTGGTTTTCTTGTTGCAAACAACGGATGGCACTTTGGAGATTTGTGAAAGTTTGTAGAGGGATGCTCAAAAGGGACGTTGATTTAGACTTCTAGGAAATTTTTACAAAACAAATAATTTGCTCCATTTTTACCTAACAGATTCTAAAAGTGAATCACAATGGAACATGGGAGAAATAAGTTTCCTTGTAGAACCTGAGATCATATATATCCTATGATGGGTCAGACCCATTTAATATTCTGAATGAGGTAACTCTTGGAAGCTTATAAGTAGGCTATGTAAGTGAAAGCATCTTTGGGTTCAATTTTTACTAGTGTTCCATTGAACTCCAATTTGTCATCATGATAGATGATGTAAGTTACAGCCTAAAAATTTATGGGAGGCCAAGTATTGCTCATCTCCACTCTCACACCTAATACTAACGAAATTTGTAATGTATAGTTCAATTATACTCTTGTTTCCACAAATAACTAAATGGTATGCAAACTAGACATAACAAAATCCAGAACAATTTGTAAATAACTGGATTTAATATAGGAGCATCTACTTCATTTAACTGCCCATTCTACGTTCAGAAAGTAAGGAACGATCCAGTGTCAATGTTTTTATTAAATCATAGTTCCACTTCCTGAGGTAAAGTTCCAGTGGATATACTTTAGAGGTTCCCAAATATTGTGTGATATGTAATTAAATCATCTTACTCTTTTTGTTCATACCTAATTTTCTTTTAAATAATTTGAAATAGTGAATTACTTGCATTAAGCTTTAAAGAAGACCGAGGTAGAAATGCATTTAAAGAGCTGTCTCTTGTTTAAAAATATGCATGTATATAACTTATGCCGAATGCAGCAGTTCACTGCTCCAGTCCTTGTTGCAGACCTCTTCAGCAATTCTTTGTTGTAGACTTTCTTCTGCAACCCTTTGTTGCAGACTTCCGTTACATTCTTATAAGAATAGGTATTCTGATCTCACTTCCAAATGCTATGTATCATCATGTGGTGACCCTTTGAAAGCTGTATGCAACAAAATTTCATTTTAATATATGCCGATTAGTGTACATTCAAAGTGACAATAAAGTTATTCTAAATTCAGTGTAAAGCTTAGAGGATGTGGACTGTAATGCTGACACACTTGTGGTCAGCACACTATGTTGACACACTTGAGGCTCCAGCTGGTTTTATTGGTTTCTTGTAGGATTATGCATTGCCTAACCTGTTCTCCCTTTCCTAAATAAGTTTAGCTGTGAGGGAGAATGAGAACCCTGGCTTCTGCAGTAACTTTCCCCCTCATTTATAGTTATATTGGTTGACTATCAACTCTTCAGTGTAGAGAATGTACAATCCGACATTGGCTAGCTTGCCACTGCTTTAAAACATGGGATTGGAATTGAAAAAAAGTTCTGTATTATTTATTCTTTATTTATTAAATTTATATGTCGCCCATCTTACTGCCAAGTGGGTTGGAACTAGAGCCCAGTTGGCCAGTCAGAAATCATGTTAAAAACTCTAATTTTTTGGTAGCATCTAGGTTTTTTTTGGTTGATACAAAACAGTTGTTTAGTTCACAACTAGTTTTAATAAATTAAAACAAACAAACAGTTGATCTGTGGCAAAAAAAGAAAGGGAGGTAGGTAGATTGCAGGGCATAAAATAGAGCATTCTGCATGTAAACTGGAGGAGATCTTGTCATGTGGTAAAAGACTGTTGCGGCTGAAATTTCCATGAAAAGAACCATGACCTTAGAATATTGAGTGGATGCATGAAGATAGCATGCTGTGGCGACAGCAAGATTTAGACTAGCATGATTTCCTTCCAGGATAGAAGGGAATATGACAAAGTAGCTATATTGATGTGTTTGGATCACCTTTCTATTTATTATTCATTTGGTCATTGTGTCAAAGAAATCTATCTCTGCTTTGACAGCATTGCTAAAGAAGCAAAAGTGTTTATAATTTTTTAATCATTCCACATTGGGGTAGGAGGTACATTTTTGATAGATGAATCTCATAGGATACTGCTAATTAATTATATCAAGATATCTCACCAGTATGGAGCAAGTCAAAATTATTTCTTCTTCATCTTGAATCCTCACTCTTTGTGCTATAGTATTTAAGAGGATAGAATAGAAGAATCCACTGGAATAGTACATGAAATGCTCATCAAATAGGTAGTTAGTGCTTACTTGCAAAGTCCAAATAGAACTATAATTAGCTTAGTATATGCATAAAAGACATGTGTCACAGACATTTTTCTAAAAGCCTCTATGCAATTTTAAAGATTCTGAGATTTTCAGAATTATTGTTACAGAGCAAAATTTCTCATCTATGATGGTATTTAATTTACTACAAGGGAGGAAAATGGAACAAGCAAAGGAACAAATTGCTGACATTTCACCAGGTCCTATTAATTTTTACCCCAAATATCAGCAGAATTTTTTTTTTGGATGAAGGGAGGTTTAGTAGGATTTGATTTATTAATCTGATTTATTTAGCTACCCAATTCACACACAGTGATGTCCACCTCACAGACAATGATTGTCAACCCATGTTTCTACCAAATTCCCTATAAAATGTATCTGCAGCATGGAAATAACAATCCCATCATTTGGAATCAAGTTATTTAACTGAGAATAGGAGAATAGGCTGTGACAACTCTTAGCCTTTTTTGAGGAAATAGTACTTATTATAAGCATTTTTTTCCTGACCCTGCCAGGGAGGGAATATGCTACTTTTCATACCTTCCTTCTGCTGTGTACAAGTTACCTGTTTGTTGCTGGGTGCTTAATTCTCCATGTCTTTATGTGTCCTGAATTTCTGTGGCATGTTCCATGAAATGGAAAAGCATACAGTTTCTTTTTGGGGGAAGGTGGGCAGGGGGTTGCATGAAGATAACAATTCATAACCCATTATAGTGTCTCTTTCTTAGTAGCTACTCTTTCTTTCATGCATTTCTTGCTATCCCATTTCAGGACCAAGCACCACCTGCCAAGAAGATTCCTGCGCCAACCAAGGCATCTGTATTCAGCAGTGGGAAGGCTTCACTTGCGATTGTTCCATGACATCATATTCTGGAAATCAGTGCAATGACCGTGAGTACCACCTTTTAAAAAACTGAATTGTTTACAAGGGGACTGAGAACCATTTGGTGTTTGGTCTGCAAGCTTGCATGAATTCTCATGTTAGACTTGTCTGGTGAACTTCCTGGGAAATTAGCTTTAGAAACTGGATTACGTAAGAGAAATTGAGAGTTTTTATTTTCTCTGAGTTAATATGAAAGTGTATGGGTGCATTCTGTTTTCATGTTTAAACACTTTTTTTAAAAAAAGGTATTGATGTTCTTTTTATAGCAACCAGAGGGAACTGTATGTGCCAGACAATAATAAGAGCTTTGCTAAGAAGTACATTTGCTTCTTAAAAGTTTTTCTAATCTTATTTACATGTAGCCTTTTCTAAATGCATGCAAAGCTCTAAACTTTTTAAATAGCCATCTGGAAGTTTTACTGGTTCTTCAAAATGCATTAATATATTGCATTAAAAACTAAATTCTTCCTCACTCGAAGGAAGAGTTTACTCGAAAAGGTGACACATTAAATCAGAATTTAACTTGGGAAATGGTCCATCGTGGACATGTAATGAGAGAATAGATTTCCTTTATTGTTAGAAATGTAGGATGATAATATAACATATATGTATTGTCAAGTTGTATCATGATATGGAACACTATGCCTGAGTAACTTTTCAAACCTGTATAATTTTTCAGATTGGAAAAACCATACATTGAAGAAGCTCTGTAGCTCAGTCTGTCTATGAATAGAAAAGATCCTAGCTTAAGTCCTTGCCATCTATATAGAATGATCAGTTAGCAAGTGATGGGATCTGGGTTCATAGAAAATACCAAAGATATTCAATATCCTTTGGGCTTGAACCACCATATTTGAAATTATAACAATTGTTTTAAGTTCAAAATAGGCTGTTGAATTGCCTAGAAAATAGTCTGATGCTGTTACAAATTTAAAGAAAGACGTAAGCTCACTTTCATACATTTTACTCTTAATTTCTAGTAATCAAGGGAGCATAGTATATGGAATTTAAGAAGTTTTAAATTATAAATTAAAAATAATTATTAGAAGCCTGATGAAAAGGATAGATTTTTTTGAGATTTTTCTAAATGCAGAGGGAGTAGGAATCATACAACAGACAGCTTGGGTGCTGGATACAAATACACACTTCTGCACACTTTAGATACTAAGGACTATATAAGTTTGAAGTAAAGAACTGGTTTCTCAGATAATCCAGCCTTGCCCATTAGAGGTTTAAAAGTTATTGTCAGGAATGATGTTTACTAAGTAAAAATATTGGACTTTGGAAACGTTAAATATCCCTTTCTACTCTCCCGTTTTCCTCCAAAGAAAGAAATGGGTGAAAAAAGGTCAAGAATTTAATGTGTGTTCTGCTTGCAAGATAGGGTTTGTGTTAAATGAAAGGTAACGTTTGGAAATGTTTATTTTCTGCTTTTACAATAGCTCAAATTAGTAGCTTAAAGTGTATCTAAATATCACTATAAGGAAACATATCCATAATGTTTCAGTATGAAAATTATGAATATAGATGTTCATGATATAAGATGCTAAAGCAAATTTTAGTTTTTAATAAAGATAGGTGGAAAATGTTAATGTTAAAGTAATTTTACTGTTAGAAATAAATGTAAAAATGGGAATATGGCTTGTAGGTATTTATTAACTAGGTTCATGGCATGTACTATATTTTCTGCTTCTCACTGTCATATCCCCTTAGAATTCTTTAATAGAATAAAATCAACTTTTGATATGATTTATTTTATGGAACAATAATTCATTAATACCTTTCCAATATGTATGTGTTTCTCTGATTCCCCCCCCACCCCAAAAAAAACATGATAAGACAACCAGTGTATAAGTAATACAATATAAAGCTGCATTTAAGTCATCTGCACTGGAGAGCTTTTAACAACATATTAATATTTTATGTTGTTCATGCAGTTAATAAAATACTGTTGCACCCATACTTTTGCACCCATTTTAGATGGCCACTTCTAAATAAAATTAACTTCAAGGTTTCAGCAAACCAGCCTCTGAGCCTAGTGTGAGATTTTCCTTAATATTCAGGAATAAATTGCTAGAAATGACATCCAGAGGGTAAATTGAAATTTAAAAGCTAATTAAAAGGACCATTTCTGTTGTTTAAAATATGTATGCACAGCATACACATGTGCTGTGTATGTAAGAACCGTGTAGGGAATTTGCAAGTGTACCTGATTTGCAAAGAAGTTAAAGGGAAAGAAAACACAGATAAAGTTTTAGAAAGAGAAACTTCTGAGAGCCATCCTCTTCTTATGGTGATTTTGTCAAAGTGGTGGTTCTAAAGAAAGGCTTGCTCATTTTTGTTGTTTATAAGTAACTCTGAACTGCCATTGGTTGGGTAGCTATGATCTTCATACTTTTGATTCAGAAATGTTTATTGTGAGATACTGCCTCCTCATGGATCACAACAGGTAAGTTCATGCTGATTGCTCTGAACCTCTCCAGCTGAGATCACAAAAGGTATGTGCTATTACTTATATTTATAAGGTCTTGGGTGTGCAAGAGCGGATTTTATTCCTTTCCATTTTTTATTATATTCTGGAGAACAAATAACATCTATCCATTAATGTTCTGAGGCTACTATGATCCAAAGGCTAGGAGAACTACACAAACTGTTCTTTGAACACAGAAAAAGGGCCATATGGATCCTTTTCTGAGAATGATGGAAAGAAACTCATTAATACTAATTAATATTAATTTTCAGCCCAGGTTACTATGTGCTGTTAAGATCTATATGTATCCATAATGGACTATGCAGTAATATAGTTTATTGATCAATTTGGAGCTATCAGACTTTAGAGGAATTTGTATAATATGGTCTAATTAGACTTAATGTGCAACTTTATGGAGTTTTGAATATATCTAGTTTTATGCAGAAAGATAGACAAATGATTGCAGAGCAAGACATTTTGATTCCTTCTCCAGTCTCTACTTTCCCCAATATCCTACAACTAACTATGATATATACCTTTCTCTTTCTTTAAATAAACATTTGTGAGATGATAAATACAAAATCAATATCTCGAAATCAGGACGTAAATCATCTCTAAGAAATTAGCCAAATAATACTTTATTGGGGTAGCTTTAATACAGTCTGCCTTTTTTTTTTCTAATAAGTAATTAAGAGTGAAAACCAATGCAAAACAATGATTTGTAGCTTCCTAGGTATATGCTATACACTGAAGTCTATATTTATTTTATGAATGCTTTTATTAAATTGCATAGTTGATACAGTACTTATTCAATTTGCCTCTGTAATGCAAATACATTTTATATATATTTAAATAAAATTACTTGGAAATTGAACTTAAATCACAGTGTTATCTGCAATAACTCTTACTTCTAATTAAGTATTATAGTAAAATGGAATATTTAAAGTAAAATGCTGCTCCTGGAATTTTTTTCCCTTGGAATAAATCAGTTTCTTGTTGGAGGCTCTGGAGTATAGAGTGAAAACTTTTTTCTTCAACATATTTCTTATGGAATAGCTAATAGATGGTCATCAATTTCTATAGTATTGCTATCTTTAAATTATAGGTACTAATACAGTATCGACTGGTCTTTATAAAACAAGTTTTAATTCATCCAATATAAAAAAGCATAATGTGCTTCTCTCACTCACTTTTTTTTTAGATTGAGTTCATTCTTGGAAGACTTTTCTATTTCTACTCAAAGTTCTTTAAGGTGTTCCTCTATTGTATGTTAAAAATCTGTATCCTACATATCCATCGCTAACCTAACATTCTCCAGATGAAATAGTTATAATTTGTAGAATTCCTGTGTAGGATAGCTTAAGCTGGGAGTCATAAATTAAACATACAGTATTTAGAGGCCCCGAAGTTAGAAGTTTTCTTCTAACTCTTTTTCTATATCAGGGTTGCTATCATCAAATCATATACGAGTAATGTGAAATGTACACCCAAAATTTAGGGCAAGACAGGAATAACTATTATATATATGAACTATTTTTCAAAGGTATATCACTTATAAAAATGAAGAAGCATTAAAACAATAGAAACATTCAGAGTTTTACTGTATGTGTATGTGGGTACATGAGAGATTGCATTTAATCAAAGGCACACATGTTTCTTATATCCAAAGTTGCAATTTTGAACTTTCTTTCTAGGTGATTTATTTTCACTAAAATTTTATAGAATGGCTCAGCAAGGGTTTTTTGTCTGTATAGTTATCATTTTTATTGACTTAAAACAAAATGGACATTCCTGACCTGTGGCATTCACCCACCTGTCCCCCTCTTCCCAGTCTCAGCCATCCAGCCACCTTACCAGAGCACGCAAAGCTGCCCAGGACTGGAACAGCTAACTATCCAGCCAGCCAGTGGTGGAATTCAATTTTTTTTACTACCGGTTCTGTGGGCGTGGCTTATTTGGTGGACGTGGCTTGGTGGTCATGTGACTGGGTGGGCGTGGCCAACTCAATGTCACTCACATCAAGGGGTGCCTCACCTGGCCTCTCCCCTCTCAGCCATTCCTTGTCACCCAGCCTTAACTTATCTATAGTTCTGAAAAATGTTGTTCACCTTTTTGACTTTATTATCTGCATACTATAGATGTACTTTCATGGACCACTGAAAGGAGGAAATGGGTCACATGCTTTGCCCAAGAGTGTGATATAGGCAACAGGCTTTTAAGGGGCTGCCACAAAGGAAGGTGGGGGATGTATTTTCCAAAGCACCAGGAGGCCAACAAGAAGCAGTGGATGGAAACTGAACAAAGAGAGAAGCAACCTAAAACTAAGGAGAAACTCTCTGACAATGAGAACAATTAACCAGTGAACCTGCTTGTTCCCAGAAGTTCTGGGTAATCAATTACTGGAAATTTTTAAAAGACTGGACAGCCATTTCTCTGAAATGGCATAGGGTTTCCCCAAAAGTCCCTTCTAAGTGTTATTCTGACACCTTTCCTTACTCAGAGTTTGGCATCCTCAGTTTTCCTGCTTGGACTAGAAGA